ACCCTCGATTGTGTTTCCTCCTATTCCAGAGGGTGCGATCTCCCATTTGAAGCCTCTGTATGTTAATGCTCATATTTGTGGGAAACCAATCACAAAGGTTTTCGTGGATAATGGAGCAGTTTTTAATGTTATGCCATTGAAGACTCTCAAGAAGTTAGGAAAAGGAATACATGATTTATCTCCTGTGGAATTCGAAATGACAAGTTTTACAGGGCAGCCGACCAAGCCTGAAGGCATGATGGTTGCCACAATTGAAGTCGGACCAAAAAAGATCTCCACTGTTTTCTTTATTGTGGACGCAGATACTACATACTCTCTTTTGCTGGGAAGAGACTGGATTCATGCCTCTCGATGTGTGCCATCAACCTTGCACCAACAATTAATGTTCTGGGAGGGAAATCAGGTTTTCAAAATGGAAGCGAATGACAACCCATTCGACGTAACAGAACAAGTTGAAGAGTCAGTGTTTTATTCCAGTCATTTGGCTCCGATGTCTCAGTTATACATGGCTAGGGAATACCCAGACAAGGGTTATAAAGTCACTAGCCAGAACTCGATGTTCTATTAAAAGAACACCTTTATTGTATGGCTCATGATAAAGCCACACCCATTCCCATATAATTTGTTTGTAATGGAAGATACAAGCTTAGAAGTATGTAGTTCTCTTATTAATAAGTTCTATTTAAAGCAGTTATTACATAAAGCAGAAAATAGTAAAGAGATTCTGGATGTTCACCTCCAAGAAGATGAACAATTTCGTTGGCCCGATTTATTAGAAAAAACAGAACCAACAGCTTCATCACAAGACCCATTATTGGAGTTTAATTTAGGAACCGAATTGGTTCCAAAAGTGATCAGGTTAAGTGGTTATTTGTCTAAAGAGCAACAAACAATGATGCTCGAAGTTATTAGAAACAACATTGATTGTTTAGCATGGGATTATTCAGAGATGCCTGGTTTGACAAGAAGTCTAATAGAGCATCGATTGCCCATCAAAGAAGGTTGTAAACCTTACAAACAACCCCCAAGGCGAATGAGCCTGGATCTAATGCCTCAAATCAAGGAAGAAATCCAAAAACTTCTCAAAGTGGGTTTCATTCAGCCATGCCGTTATGCGGAGTGGCTGGCTAACATTGTGCCAGTGGTCAAGAAAAATGGTAAGATAAGGATATGCATCGACTTCAGGGATTTGAATCTAGCTACCCCTAAGGACGAATATGTGATGCCGATGGCCGACATGCTGATAGATGCAGCAGCAGGGCATAAAATCCTTAGTCTGATGGATGGTTATGCAGGTTATAACCAAATATTTCTGGCAGAGGAAGACATTCCTAAGACAGCATTCAGATGCCCAGGGGCTTTAGGTATTTATGAATGGACAGTCATGCCATTCGGGTTAAAGAATGCGGGGGCAACTTACCAAAGAGCCATGAATTCAATCTTTCATGATTTAATTGGCAGATCTATGGAAGTTTATATTGATGATGTTATTATTAAATCTGCCAGTTTTGAGGAACATTTGAGAGATCTTGAAGAGGTATTCGAAAGAATGAAGAAGTACAAGTTGAAGATGAATCCAACCAAATGTGCTTTTGGAATATCAGCCGGGAGCTTTCTAGGATTCTTAGTTCATGAGAGAGGAATTGAAATTGATGCCAATAAGGCTAAAGCCATTCTTGATAGTCGGCCACCCAAGACGGTTAAAGAAATCCAAAGTCTGTTGGGTAAGGTGAATTATTTGAGGCGTTTCATTTCTAATGCTGCTGGCAAGGTCAGACCCATTACTAAATTGTTGAAAGCTGGAAAAAATGCCTTTGAATGGGGTCCCGACCAACAGACGGCTTTAGATGCTATCAAGCAGGCATTGGTTCACCCTCCAGTCTTGATGCCTCCTAAACAAGGTCGGCCACTCAAACTTTATTTGGCAAATACATATGAAGTGGTTAGTTGTTTATTGGCGCAGGATGGTGATGACAGGAAGGAAAGGGCAATTTACTATCTCAGTAAAACCCTTACAGGACCAGAACTGAATTACACTATGCCAGAAAAAATGTGTTATTCATTGGTCTTCGCTTGCACTAAACTCGAGCATTATTTGCTGCCCAGAAGAGTTGAGGTCATATCAAAGGTGGATCTCATCAAATTGATTTTACAGAGACCTACTATGAAGGGCAGACTCATGAAGTGGGCCATCAAATTGGCTCCTTTTGATCTTCAACATTCCCCACTGAGGGCAATCAAGGGACAAGCAGTAGCCGACTTCTTAGCAGAATTCTCACAAGTCGGGTATTCTCTTTGTGATAGTGTCCGACCACTTAGTTGTTCATCATATCTGAATAACCTACAGGTCGGATATGTGCCTTATATAAGTACCAGAACATGGTTGATGTTCTTTGATGGTTCTACCTCTGGAAACAAATCAGGGGCAGGGGTCTTTTTGCAAGGACCTGATGGTCAAAAGATCAACTTACAACTACGATTGGAATCCATGACCCATAATTCGGCAGAATATGAAGCTTTAATTTTGGGTTTGGAGGCTTTAATTGCCAGGAAGGTCCAGTCTGTAATCATAAGGGGGGATTCTCAATTAGTAGTCAACCAGGTAAACAATCAATATGTTTGCAATTACCCTCATCTTCGCAGATACAGGAACATGGTGGGTCGGTTACTGACAAAAATCTCAGAAGTAATAATTGAGTTCATTCCGAGGAAAGAAAACCAACGTGCTGATGAATTGGCTCAAAGGGCATGTAAAGGAATTCTGGAGGATATGTGGTCGGAGGTCAAGTCGGGCATAGAAGGAAAGACAGACCCGATCTGCGAAGTTATGGTCGGGCAGGAGACTATCGGACAGGACCCCGACTGCGAAGTCATGGTCGGGGAGGAGACTATCGGACAGGACCCCGACTGCGAAGTTATGGTCGGGCAGGAGACTATCGGACAGGACCTCGACTGCGAAGTTATGGTCGAGCAGGAGACTGTCGGACAGGAGCCCGACTGCGTAGTTGATATCAGGCAGGAGTCCGACGGCGAAACAGTGCCCGATTGGAGAACAGAGCTTATCATGTATTTACAGAATCCAGGTGCGAGTGTTTCGGTTGCGACACGATTGAAAGCTTTACGTTTTCAATTAATAAATGGAATTTTGTATAAGAGGTCATTTGAAGGTCTGCTTTTGAAATGTTTGGGGTCTAAAGAAGCTCTAGAGGTAATGACAGAAGTACATGGTGGGATATGTGGAGCTCATCGGGCAGGTCTCAATATGAGATGGGCCATTCATCGCTTGGGTTTTTTCTGGCCAAAGATTTTTTAAGACTGCATACAATTTGCCAAAGGGTGCCAGGAATGTCAGAGACATGGAAATTTAAACCATTTGCCAGTAACCGAATTGCAATTCTTGGCAAAACCATGGCCTTTTAAATCATGGGCTATGGATATTATTGGGAAAATACATCCTGCTTCATCGAAACATCATTGTTTCATATTGGTTGCGACTGACTACTTTACCAAATGGGTAGAAGCAATTGCTTTGAAAAATGTGGATCAGAAAGAAGTGATAGACTTCGTTTTGAATCAAATTATTTACAGGTATGGTATTCCTCAGTCTATAACAACCGACCAAGGCCTGGTTTTCACGGGGGAAAAGTTCTCTAGTTTCTTGGCAGAATTTGGGGTTCGATTACATCATTCTTCACCTTATTATCCCCAAGCCAATGGACAAGCGGAAGCAGCAAATAAGATTATTATTGGGATTATAAAGAAGATGGTTGAAGGGAACCCAAGAAAGTGGCATTTGCTATTGTCTCAGGCTTTATGGGCACATAGGAATACCAGAAATACGGCCACAGGGTTCTCACCTTACCAACTCACGTTTGGCCAAGATGTTGTTTTGCCAGCCGAAATCCGAGTATCATCTGGCCGAACAGAGTTTACTGATGGTGGTCTTACAAAAGAATACCAACAACTTATGATGCAACAGTTGGAAGATTTGGATGTTAACCGTCTCCATGCAATAGGTCGAAGTGTGAAACAGAGTGAAATCAGAGCAAGGAGTTACGGAAAGAAAGTTCTTCACAAGACATTCCAAAAAGGAGATCTAGTCTGGAAGACCATCCTTCCTACATATAAGAAAACTGACCAATTGGGAAAGTGGTCACCGAATTGGGAAGGACCTTACATTGTTCAAAAAGATATTGGGAATGGCGCTTTCATTATTGTAAATCATGAAGGGAGAAGAGTACATGATTGTATTAATGCTAAATATCTGAAGAGGTATTATCCTGCCTTTTCAGATAACAAAACTGCCTGAAACAAAATATTATTTTCAGAACCCATTTATGGGGTTCGGGTTCGAACCTATTTAAAGGTTCATTTCTGTTAGTCATCATGTGTTTGTGAGAAATTTTCTGCCTCTGAATCAGACTTTTCATCCCAGTGAGTGGATATTAGTTCTGGTTCTTCTTCAATAAGATCTTCCAAATCTGGTCGGTACCTTTCCCATTGGCTTTGCATGTCGTCTAGATCTTGATGGGTACGTGCTTGCATGTCTGTTAGGGCTTGATGTTCACGATCAACAATGGTGCGCAATCTTGAAAAGACTTTTCGTTGATTGGAAAATATGTTATCCCAACCAAGATCTGGAAGTATGGTTGCTGCGTGATTTTCGATCATTTCCATGTGATGATGAAGATCAGGAATGCGGCTAAGGATGTCACGAAGAGGTTCATACCCCTCAATGACTTTTTCCATCAGGCGGATGACGCGATGAATGGTTCTTCTTCCTCGTTGGGAGAATCGGAATTTGAAGTCTAGTTGCTTGAGTATATGTAACAAGTCTTCTGCATGGCCTCCAATAGGGTGATTACCTACAAAGAAGGGTTGAAGAACACCCTCCCAGTTGCTTGATGGAACATGAGGTCGGTCATTCGCCATGTTTGTTAACACTTTCAGTGTTTTGATTTTTAAAATATGCCTGGGAAGGTGCTTCTTAAAATGTGAGAAACAATATTCTTTTAAAGAAGGAGTTTGTTTTGATTCCTACAAAGTTGGGAATTGAAAGGTGATCCTTGTTTTGAGAAGAAAGAAAAAATGGATTACTAAGTCAAGTATTGTTACAAAGGGGGAAATATTACAACAGTGCCCCTAGGGCAGTTTTTATCTGTGTCCATTTGTTTTCATCCCTGGATAGCCTTCTGATATTGGCAGCCGTCTGATATCTTCTGATGAATTGGGATCGGGCTTGGGTTTTCAGCTCTTGATCCAATTCAGCCTCATTTTTGGTATACTTCTCAAGCAGATGCTGTTCATTGGTAATTTGCGTATCCAGGGTAGACTGTTCTTTCCTCAGCTCCCGCAATTCTGCCTCATTTTTCTGAATGGCATCATCAACCAGAGCTTTCGTACTAAGGAGACCACCCAGTCTTCCAGTAGTCTGCTGAAGGGATTCTCGAGTCTTAGCCAAAGAATTCTCCAGCGTTGTTTGATCGAAGTCGGGCTGGGGGGTTTCGGCTGACAGAAGGCCAATGACTACCACTTCAGTCTTGAGCTCTGTAAGTCTCTCCATCAGCCGATGCAGAATGGGGACAGCTGGCGATTCCGTCGGAGTGTAAAAGAGAAGGCCACCAACCGTCTGGATGAGTTTGTCCAACAAGTCGGATCTCAATTCTGACAAGGGATGGTTCATGGCCTCGGTGAAGATAGTTCGGGCCTCCGCCGGAACCGGAACAGTCGACAGGACAGCTAAGTCCGAAGGCCCCTGCAAGTCCTACAATGTCAATAAGTATGCCAGAGGAGGTGCAAATTTATTCAGATAGGATATGTGTTACCTCTGGACGGACTGCTGTCAGTGAGGGGTGCAGCAATGAGGTCGGTCGAGTAGGGCAGACAGCTGGTATAATAGCAGCCGACTCGTCGGCTGTTGCGAATGGTCGCTGAGGTGCCGACCTGGGTCCCTATGGAACGTGGTATATAAAACAGTTAGTGTTTTCCGAGGGAAACATTATGGCATGGATTGGTGGAATCTTACCAAATTTACAGAAGTCTCCGATTCGGACGAAGACATTTCTTCCATTTCTGGAGGTTGGATTGCCGCAGGTGGTTCTTCTGCCTGCCACTCGATGGCTAGAGGGAGCGCCGCTGCTGGTTGGGCGGCTGCAGGTTGGGCGGCTGCATCTAGAGCCACTGCAGCCGGGATCTCTGCGGCACCTCCGATTTCGGGATCAGCAACATCAAGGATGTCGTTTTGAGGGTCAGCTTCGGCGAGGGCAGTTGGTCCTTCCTTCGAAATGGATGAGTCTGATGCCATGTATGGCGGTCGACCCATTTGGGAAGTAGTTCCTTCGCTGTCAGAAGAGACCCCTGCTGCTGATCCGATGGGTGAAGGTGTCTGTGAAAAATCATGGAAATGTTGTTGATTGAATATATCAAAGTTGGTCATTAGAATTCTAAGTATTGCTGACGAGAGAACTTACAGGTTCTATAGGCGCTACTGGTAAGGATTGCCTCCTGGTCGGGTGCCTGGCCCGACCGCTCCTCGGTGCGGGAGGAAGAGTTTGCCTCCTCGTCGGGTCCTCCGCCTGACTGCTCATTGGCAAAGTGAGAAGTGGAGTAGGGGTTTGGAGAGGAACTGCTTCAGTCGGGACCAAAGGTTGGTCGGCTGGGGTTGGCGTCGGTTGTGTGGTCGGTGCTGCCAAGGTTGGTTCTGGTGAATGATATGTGAAATCAAGGTTAAGATATAGTGAATTGGTTCACGGTTTTAAGAAAAATTACCTAGTCGGGGTCGGGTCCTTGCTGACGTCCTAGTAGTTCCTAGATCCGCTTGAGCTTGCTGGTCGGCCCCAGAGGTCGGGGGTGTTTGCAGCTGGGAAGCTTTCCTTTTTCGTTTTGGAACACTAGATCCGGTCCCCGGGGCGGCTGTTTGTGGCTGGGTGCTAGTATGTCTAGCCGCCCCTAGAACCAATCCTTGGGGTGGAAGGAGTATGTTCAGCAATCGACCCTCATCAGGGGAAATCAGGGGCCATATAACCGACCACCATTCAGTGAAAGTATCTACAGTCTCAGGGTTGGAGCGGAAAGGAATATACGAATTGGAAATTATATACGTGGTGAGCTGGGAGATATAAGAAGGGATTGAATTTGGTAGGACTCGTCGGTCGGGACTTTGAAAAATTATATGAGGACAAGCGACGGGTCCAGGGATACCTTGGCAACAGCCGAACTGGCGCGCCATGAATTGAGGTTCATAATTAAAAGTGTAAAAGGTTTTCTGCCCTTTTTTATCAAGTTTTTTGCTACTAAAAAGAGACCTGGGTTTGAGGGCAACGTCCCAGGCAAAAGGATAAGTGGAATGAGGACAAGGCTCAGGAGTCGGAAGCGGATTTGGTACTGGAAAAGGCCAAAAATGGTCGGGAGCATAGCCCGCATATTTTTTATACATAGAAAATCGAGAATTACTGCGGGTATCTGTTAAAACTGCAATTATTATTGGATCGGAAGATTGGAGGTTATTGCGTCCCGAGCAGAGTCGGTTAAGGGCTAGTCCCAAATGTTTTTCAGCTGTTGGCATAGTGGGCGGAGATCCTAAGTTAAACGCGTTGGGGAAATAGAGCCGGAACCAAAGTTCTAAAAACCAAAAAGGACCCGACGCGGCAGTGTCTAATTTCCTATTATCATTATCTGTTAAGCGAAGGCTAACTCTAGTGAGTCCTTCAAACAGATTGGCTAAAAACAGGGTGCCAAGAGAGAAAAAACGACCTGACGCGATATGAATGGCTAGGTCGAGATGAGAAGGAAGAACACATTTGGAAGGGGAAACAATGACGTACCTACAAAGCCAAAAAAGGATAAAGGCAGTATGCTCCCGGTCGGTTACAGGGGTCCCTGGAGCCCCTTGCTGGTCGGTTGCGAACTTTGTCCAACCCCATTCCTTCACACCTTGTAAAGACCACCCTGGATGGTTTTCTGATGGCTCCTGCCCATCTAGGGCACCCATTACAGGGTCTTCACCCACAACTGGGAGATGTGCGATCATTGCAACGTCCATAAGAGTTGGGCCAAAGGGGCCTGATGGGAAGAGGAAAGTCCCATTTTCCGCATTCCAGAAGGCAGACATGGCCAACAACACCTTCTCATGCAGGTTGATAGGCATGGTGGACAGTAGTATTGCTTGGTCGATCTTTTGGGAACGCCATTGGGTCTGGAAGTGTTCTGCTACCCGTCGATACCAAGCACGGTAAGGATCTTTTGGGTCTGTGAGATGGGTTTTGATGCTGTCTCGAATGCGAACTGCTTGGTAGTTAGGGCTGTTGATAGCCAAGGAATTTCGGGATTCCAAGACTTCCCTCATCCGGTTTAAATCTTCAGGAGTAGTGCAATATGGACGGATCGTCGGAGTCAGTACTTTTGAGGCTGAAAATGGGCCCTCCGGGAGGGTTCCGTCGAAGGGAAGGGCAGGAATGTATTGATTCGCCATGGTTAGAGTGTTTGGGATTGTGATTCACAAAAGCTTGTATTGCGGAGAAGGAAGTTAATCAGGAGTGTTGCAGTAACTGGTGCAGTTGCTAAGGGAGTTTTTCAAGAGGGTGGTGATTTATGAACTTCCAAACATTGATTGTTAAATGGCGTTTGAAAGTCCCTTGGCGGCGGGCAAGTTGTTACGTACGAAATTTAGAATTAGGTTAAAAGCCCAAGGTAAAAAGAAGAATGGGCCTGGCAATAGAGTTGATTGAACTGATTGAAGGGTACCATGAGGAAATCAAGGAAAATAGGTTTATTACTAAGGAAAGTCCTCAGGTCGGAAGGTCTTCAGGTCGGTAGGTCCTCAAGACGGAAAGTCATTAGGACGGAAGGACCTCAGGTCGGTAGGTCCTCAAGACGGAAAGTCATTAGGACGGAAGGACTTCAGGTCGGGAAGACCTCAAGGCGGAAAGACCTCAAGTCGGAAGGTTTTCAGGTCGGGAAGTCCTCAAGACGGAAGGACCTCAGGTCGGAAGGTCTTCAGGTCGGTAGGTCCTCAAGACGGAAAGTCATTAGGACGGAAGGACTTCAGGTCGGGAAGACCTCAAGGCGGAAAGACCTCAAGTCGGAAGGTTTTCAGGTCGGGAAGTCCTCAAGACGGAAAGACCTCAAGTCGGAAGGTTTTCAGGTCGGGAAGTCCTCAAGGCGGAAAAACCTCAAGTCGGAAGGTTTTCAGGTCGGGAGGTCCTCAAGGCGCAAAGACCTCAAGTCGGAAGGTTTTCAGGTCGGGAGGTCCTCAAGACGGAAGGACCTCAAGTCGGAAGGTTTTCAGGTCGGGAAGTCCTCAAGGCGGAAAGACCTCAAGTCGGAAGGTTTTCAGGTCGGGAAGTCCTCAAGGCGGGAAGACCTCAGGCCAGTTGGTTCGCAAGTCGGGAGGATTGGCGGTCGGACCCATACTATTGTAGATTGGCAGTCGGGCCTAAAGGGCGGAAGGTCTGTGGTCGGCTTAAAGAGTGAAATATAGGGATAATTTTGGTCTGCTGAGGACGCGTGTCAGCAGGAGAGGGGTTGGAAGACGGTTGGGAAGGAGACGTTGTAACCGTTCGGGTGACGGTTTTCGGTGCGGTTTCCCAGAGAATATTTAAAGGTTTGAATCATCATTTGGCAAGGTATCTTCAATCAACTTCAACAAAGCAAAGTCAGATTTGGGGATCACCACTTTAAATTTCAGTCTTTTATTTTCCAGTTTATTTTCTGTACCATACAGTGTTTAGAGATTCCTAATCTCAGGCACTAATTAATCAAGTTTAAGGATATTTTCTATATCTTTGAATTTTACTTTATTTTTGTTGAAAAATTACATCAACAAGTCTAAATGATTTATTTTGCTATATTTTGTGATACTTTTTGTGTATTTTAAGGAAACAAAAGGTTTTAATCCAGAGCAAAGGTCGGACATGAGATTAGTAATGGGTTCCTTCCCCGACCGAAGCCTTGCGGATTTTCTCAAGTTCGGCGTCAAAGCCGGCCAATGGGAGTAAGAAATACTCTTCACCGTCGGTGGACGGGCGACTGGCGGACTCTGTGAGGACTCCTTGAGGGTCCATGGTCCGGGAAGAAAAATCCATTAAAGAAATAGTACTTGCGATGATGAAAACAAAGAATGATAAAAAAAGATATAAGCGTACACTCAACTCTTTTGAAGAGGACATTGTTGGACATGGCCCAAAATAACCTCAATGAGAAAGAGGCCTAGTTAGAATGGAAAAATAGGAAGAGACTCAAGCAAGGCTCAGGACCTCGTAGACAGCCAGAGCCTCCCGAATGTAAAGCCTTCCAGACATTCAAACCAACCAAGCCTCGTGACGCCGAGGTCTTTCAGCCACGAAAGGAAGATTGGTGAAATCAAATGCAATTAAAGAGTATGAGACATGGGGGAAACCACTAGAAGCAGAAGCCACAAATATAACTACGTAAGAATATGGAGTTAGTTGGAAGAACTAAACCTAAATTTCAGAAAGTTTGATTCCTAGTTTTTAGCTTAAATCTAATATATATACCTAAAGGGCCACGAGCACGCCTTTAACTCGCTGGCCTTGTCGGTAAGACTTTTTGGAGTACTTGTGGGAATCCTAAGCCGACGACTTTCATCCTCTTGTTGGCGACAAATAGCTTCATTACACCAAAAAATGTCAAAGAGGATTTAGGACTTGGTTCCAACAAAAACTCAATCAAACAAACCCGAAATCTTCTCTGTCCGTCCGTTCTTCCCGTTTCTTTTATTTACACCCTAACATAGTTTTCAAATACATATATATACATTATATTCACACCATGCATATCTATAAACAATTTAGTAGAGAATAATAGATATTTTCTTATTAACAACAGTGGGGAACTTGTCAAAATGATTTTTTAGTTTACCTTTAGACTAAAAGGTTCACCAATAATCATCACACGAGCAAATCCCATTCTCAAAATGGTGGTACCTGTTCGTATCTCTAACCACAATTTGTCGATCCGCAATCTTTGAGATGAACTTGATCGCCGAGTGGCAATCCTCGCAGACCCGTAGGTTCTTGGTCACCCGAATCGGCGACCCCGGCTCGCTATTGATCATTGCAAAAACAATCGCCAATTTTTCACTATGGACGGCCAAATGGTTCGCCTTATCTTCCTCCTCGACATCATGTAGGGTATTATCCGTTTTCGGGACATATCCAGCTTCCTTCATTTTCACCACTAAAATATCGAGCTCCTCGTAGATCCTCCCCGACTGTGGATGCGATTGATCTCCCGCAAGAAATGTGTGGACGCGATCGCCGAGCTCCACATTGCTCACACCGGGTAGTTTCTTGATTCCTCGCCCTTTCATAAGGGACCGAACCAACGCCACCTCTTTCCATCGCCTCGCCTTGGCATAAATATTCGACAATAGAACATAGTACCCCGACTGCTGTGGAGCCAATTCGAAAAGATGATCGGCTGCGATAATCCCGACGTCCATATTGTTGTACACATTGCACGCATTCAACAGCGCACCCCAAACCCGATCATTCGGCTTCAGGGGCATTTGCAAAATAAGAGTATAAGCTTCACCGATCAGACCAGCCCGCCCGAGCAAATCAACCATGCATGTAAAATGCTCTAACCTAGGAACTATATTGTACTTCTCCGTCATCAATTTGTAATGATACCTGCCCGATGACAACAACCCGGCATGGCTGCAAGCAGAAAGAACCGAAACAAATGCAATAGAATCCGGGACGATGCCTAACCCCAGCATTTCACCAAATAATTCGATGGCTTCGCGGCCTTTCCCGCTTCGGCCGTAAGCAGACATCATCGAAGTCCATGAGATCACATCCTTGATTTGCATGTAGTCGAACACATCTCTTGCTTCTTTTAAACATCCGCACTTGGCATACATATCGATCAGCGCATTTTCTATCAACAAGTTCGGTTGCATCCTTTTCTTCTGAACGTATTTGTGTATTCGCTCTCCCAGGGATGCTGCGGAGAGATTGCCGCAGGCAGGAAGAATCGTGGCCACTGTTATATCATCCGGTTGTATTCCATTGGCTTCCATTTGTAAATAAAGATCGACAGCCTCAGATGACATGGAATTATTCACATACACAGCTATCATTACGTTCCACGGGACCAATTTCTTCTTCGCCATGCCCATGAAAATATTCTTCACAAATGCAACATTTTCGCCACTTATGTTCGTCACAGCAGGTGACAGGCTAGCCATGGTCCCGGGATCAGGCTTGAAACCTAACACCTCCATTTCCTTGCAAACCTCCAGAGCTGCGTCAAACTGTCGATTCTGGGCATACCCAGCCACCAAAGAGTTCCACGACACAATGTCCCTATACGGCATTTCATCAAGAACCCGTCTCCCCTCCATTAAACTTCCACATTTGCTGTACATTGCGATCAAACCATTCCCGGTAAACAGAGTCGAGTCAAGCCCTTTCTTCAAAGCAGGGGAATGTATCTGCAACCCAAATCTCAAATTATTAGAGGCGGAGCAAGCTTTCAAAATGCAAGGCAATGTATAATGATCGGGTGTCACACCTAAGGCCAGCATGCTCTTGTACATCAAGATCGCATCTTTGAAGAAATGATTATTCACATAGCTTCTGATCATCACATTGCATATGACATTGTTTCTCTCTGACATTTTGTCGAATACCTTGCGGGTTTCCTCAGGCTTGCCGTGAGCAGCATACGCCCGCATCAATTTGATAGACAAGGATGTATCTAAGTTCAAGTTGGGGTCGGATAAAATCCTGGAGTGGATCTTCTTAAGGGTTTTGATACCTGGGCCATTGTCTAGTGTCCGGATGATAAAAGCCTCTATCTTCTCAGTAGCAATTAAAACGTGGGGTGTAACCTTTTCTGAAATTTTTATAGAGTTCATCGATGGAAAAGCAATAGTGCCGTCATCTCCAACATCAGCTACACATCAACGCTCCCAATTGATCTTGAGTTTGAGATACAATTAATCAATCATTCCATTTTCAAAAATTGATAACTACAGCATAAACTTCATATAGTCTAAAGAAAATCAAAACATATATCATAATACAAAGCAGCTCATCAAATTGAATTCCAACACATAAAACATGTAAAAAATAAAAATTGCTGCAAAATATCAAATTTCTCAATCTTCCATGTTCAGTGTGAAAGAAAATAGCTTAAAGAGGAACCAGACCTTGGGTCTTTGAAGAAAAAAGGAAATAAAAATATTGCTTTGCGGAAAACTCAGAACCTAGAGAAGAAAAAACTAATGTATGAAAGAAGTCCACTATAACAATGCAGCATGAATAGATATCGTCCTACAAAATGCCCAAGCATTTTGGCATGAAGGTGACTCAATAGCTTATGTAAACCACAATAATTATTTACTCAAATGTAGCAGAAATCCACACAGCATCAGCCAATCAATCTAACATAATGAAACATAATAGTATAGTAAAAACATACTCAACCACAGCAGAACACATAATTAAGAACTTCTACAAGAAAGCTAAATAAAATAATTTTACAAAACAGTCAAACTTTAATCGGCTCGAGCTATCGATGCGAATTTCACAAAACTACTGCACAAACCCTCAAAATAGAACACGGAAATGAGCTAGGCCCTTCATGGATGAATGAAGATAAACAAGCATGGGTTTAACATGTGGCTAAATTGACACAAAACAGAAGCCTAATTCACTAGCCTTTAATGGAAGAAAACCACACAATATCTCTAGTGTTGCCATCTCTGTCACAACACGCAATGACCGGCATATTAAACATACAAGGAGAAACGTTTTTTTGGTAGTTTGGTGATCATCAAAATAATAAGTAAATGCTCTCGTGTCCATTCATTACACAAGGACTTAGTGAATAAGTGATATGAAGTGTTCTATACAAAATTTAATCGAATAATTAAAAGTGATCAAAACGAACCAAATCAAATCAGCGTTCCACAAAATTTGAATAACCATCCACTCCGTTTCTTGAATTTTATTGGTGTATAGACATATTAGATCATCATTCTATAGTATTTACAGTTTATATAATTCGGCATTTGTACCATGATGTAGCTCCAATACTTACGAACTATCTGATAATGTCAATGGTATTTGAATGCATGTATCAAAGGTATCATACTTGGTGATACATGAAGCCATGCATTTTGTGGATGATACAAATAAAAACTACAAACAAACGAATAATCTCAAGTCACAATTTTACAGACAAACTTAAATGAAGCGCCTCACCCATGAATCTTCGCAGCAAAACATAATACCCAGAAATCGAAAAATATGCATAACACACGCCGAATACATAACATATATGATCAAACTAAAGCAGAAACAAATATTCTCAATTCAAAGAAAGTTTGTCGAGCCAAAGCCGGGGTATATGGAACAAAACAAAACTCTCTCTTTCTTTTAAACTGAATAAAATCCAACATACATCAAACTAAGAAAAATAAACTGTAATTGAACAAGGTAGAGAAACTAATGAACAAAAACTAATCATTGAAGAGCAAAAATCACGAACATCTAAACCACAAAATTCTAGAAACAGAACTTCCGGCCAGAAACAAAGTCAAATCCGATCCAAAGAAACTACGTACCAGACTAGGATGGATCTGGCTAAGTGGTGACGAACGCACACGAAAACGACAGAAAAAACAGGTAAGAGGAAGATGAAGACGATTGAATACAAGGGCGACGAAGCCAAAGCCTGGTAAGATGAAGACAAAGACAGCGGCGCTGTAGTTCAGGAAGCCCAAACGCAGGGAAGAGGATCGTCAAGAAGGCGGGGAAGTTGGAACCAGAGACAATAGAAGACGCCGATGAAGCCGGCCGGAGACGACAAAGAAAGACTGCGCAGACGACGACGGAATAGGACTAGGGTTTAGTTCGTAAAATTATACTCCCTCACCTCTACGTGTGTTTGTTTGGGGATTCCATTTTTAGTTGGATTTGAACATAAAATTAAATGAATAATTGTAAAATTAATTTTTAACATAATATAAAAAATAAATATTTAATTTAATATTTAAAAAAAAAAATTTAATGAATAATATAGGAATGGTAAAATTTTCAAAACAAAAACACCCCGTATGATCATTTTAGCTATTAATTCAATTGGCTGTCAGCTAAATTTGATTAGCTCATGATTTGTATTAAAATATTTGATAAATTAATTATTCTGTATTAACTGTTAATACATAACAATTTAATATATATTCATATTTTATTTTTTAAAATATTTAATATGTTTTTTAATTTAAAAATTTTAATTTTTTTTTATTAGTTATTCAAAATTATAAAAATATTATGAAAATTTTATTTTTATTATTATTTTATTTCAAAAAATAATATATTTTTGTAAAAAATATTAATAATTTTATTAAAAATAATATTCCAGATAAAATAATAAAATTTTTATGTATATATATAAATATTATTGTAATATTATTATAGAATTAATCAATAAAATAATTAATTATTTTTATCACTAATCACTATTTTATATTATAAAGTAGTATATTATATATGATGGTGTGTGTAAATAATATAATGTATAAATATATGTGTGGATAAAAAATTGTGTTATTTTTAATAAACACAAAATTTGTACAAATTATATTTGATTTGAATTTTAAGCGGGTCCTATTCTCTAAATGGGTCCTTTGATTCTCCTTCCGGGTCGATTTGTTCTCCAACTTAGTTTTCGATGGCTTCTTTGATCCGAAGAGGTTTGGTCTTCGGTTTGACTTTGCCGGCTTTTGGAGAGCTTTGGTCTCCGTGCGGGTGATTTGATCGTCGGCTTTGGATTTGATGTCTTTTTTTTAGACGATCCGAGGCTTTGATCTTGGATTTGGCTTTGCCGCCTTTTGGAGGACTTTGGTCTCCGCGTTGGCGATTTGATCATCGTCTTTGGATTTGATGTCTTTTTTAGACGATCTGCAGCTTTGATCTTTGGTTTGCGTTTTCCGCCTTTTGGAGAGCTTTGGTCTCCGTGCGGACGATTTGATCCTCAGCTTTAGATTTGATGTCTTCTTTGGACGATCCGCAGCTTTGATCTTTGATTTGTCTTTGCCGCTTTTGGAGGACTTTGGTCTCCGTGTTGGCAATTTGATCGTCGGCTCTGGATTTGATGTCTTCTTTAGACGATCCGAGACTTTGATCTTTGATTTGGCTTTGCCGCCTTTTGGAGGGCTTTGGTCTCCGTATTGGCGATTTGATCATCATCTTTGGATTTGTTGTCTTCTTTAGACAATCCGCGACTTTGACCTTCGCTTTGGCTTTGCCGCTTTTGGAGGACTATGGTCTCCGTGTAGGCGATTTGATTATCGGCTTTGGATTTGGTGTATTCTTGGAACGATCCGCAACTTTGATCTTTGAGGAGGTGGATTTAATGCTCCATAACGCTTTTGGCAGCATGTCCCTTTGACTTTTTGGATCGAAGAGGGCCTAGTTGATGCTTTGTTGAAGAATGGATGAACATCTTGAAGCTTTAAGAAGAACTTTGAAGACCTTCCCTTGGCTTTGACGAATTCCTCAACGGCTTTGAGAGCTTTGATCCTTCCTCTGGCTTGGACATACGACGAAGAACGTTAACTTCATCGATTCGTCAACCAATATTGGATCATTTGTCCAAATCGGTGACTTTTCGACGAAGAACGCTTCGAAGGACACGAAGAACAATGAAGAACATGCAGAGAGTCTAGAGAGACTTACCCTTGCGCGAGTCTTTAAATGAAATTCAATGTGTCAAATGAACTGACCATGGCTCCTATTTATAGGGGATGGGTGGTCTTGGCTTCCTTTTCGGATGGTGCCACGTGTATGGAAAGATTTTATAATCTTTCCTTTTCTATCAGATGATGTTTTCCATTCTTGACGGATTTGATTGTGCACATTCCTTTCTCGCCAAAATCTTTATATCATTGCCTTTTTTGGAAGATATTAATTTATATACTTCCTTTATTGACAAGATTAATTTATTTTGCTGCCAAATTAATTATGGCTCTATTTATGCACGTAATATTTGTACGATATCTTCCATTTTAAGCATATTTTGCATTAATGGTTGATATTTATTGTACAAAAATTAACATATGTGCATAATTAAATACCATATATTTATTTTATTGGAATTTTATTTTCTTCCAAAATATATGATATCTAATTGATTTTAGACATATATTTTTAGTGTCTACAATATGTATGTATAATATAGATGTATGAATGTGACGTTAATATATATATTTATGTATATTGTATCAGATATGTGAGTAATAAATAGGGGAGAGATGAGTGGCAAAGACACGAGAGATAAGATTTTTTTGGGGTGAATTTCATTTATTCAATCAAACTTTATTTATAGGCAATTGGAAGGAAAATAATTGTAGTAAATAATACATACATATCAAGGTAAGTCGTGGCAAATAAAGACTAGCATCCAGAATTCATGCACGAATTTATTATGTGTACATTTTATGACACTCTCTTTTGGATGTTTTAATTCAAAGAATGTGTTCCGTTAAAATCTTATTAGGAAAAAACTATTTGGAAAAAAATTCTAGTGAAGAAAAAAAAGTACATCATTTTCGTATTGATTCTCTCTCTGATCTGAACATTATTTGAGATTCCTTAACCAACACATTCCAATTTTCTTCACCAAATTTTCAAAAGTTGTAGTCGGGAATGCCTTGGTTAATATATCCGCCAAATTATTATCTGATCGAATTTGTTGCACATTAATTTCACCATTCTATTGTAGATCATGAGTGAAAAAGATTTTTGGTGAAATTTCGTTCTATCACCTTTATTGTAACCCCCTTTCAATTAGGCTATACAAGCTGTATTATCTTCATACAATGTAGTCGGAGAAATTTTATCGTCGGGTATTAACTTACAATTTCTTAGAATATGTTAAGTCATTGACCTCAGCCAAACACATTCTCGGCTAACTTTATGTATTGTCAATATTTCAGCATGATTTAAAGATGTTGCAGTTAGAGTTTGTTTCATCGATCTCCAAGAGATCACCATTTAGCCACAAGTGAATATATAGCCAGTTTGAGACATGGCTTTATAATGATCAAATAAATATCCTACATCAGCAAAACCAATCAATTCATGTCGAGAATCTTTCGAGTAAAATAACCCGAGATCAATTGTTCCTTGGAGATAACAAAAAATGTGTTTAATCTCATTCCAATGTCGTCGAGTAGGCGATGAGCTGAATCTTGCCAATAAATTTACAGCAAATGATATGTCGCGTCATGTGTTGTTAGCAAGATACATCAATGCACCTATAGCACTCATATATGGCAATTTTGGGCCAAGTGTTTCTTCATTTTCTTTTTTTGGTCTAAATGGATCATTTGCTGGATCGAGTGCTCTGACGATCATTTGGGTACTTAGTGGATGTGATTTATCCATCATGAATTGTTTCATTACCCTTTTTGTATAGTTTGATTAGTGGATAAAGATTCCATTTTCCAAGTATTTAATTTGAAAACCAAGGAAAAATTTGGTTTTTCCAAAATCTTTAATCTCAAACTCCTTTTTCAAATATTCAACAGCTTTCTGAATTTCATCAGGAGTTTCAATTAAATTGAGATCATCGACATATACAACGATATTATGAATCATGACCTATTTTTATTTATGAAAACACATGGACAGATAGGGTCATTTATGTAACCTTCTTTCGTTAAGCTTTCGTTGAGACGATTGTACCACGTTCGGCCCGATTGTTGAGCCCATAAAAATTTTTTTCAATTTGATGGAATATGATTCTTTTGGCTTTGATTTGAATGATTCAGGTATGTTAATCTCTTTTGGGATTTTCATGTAGACGTCATTGTCTAAAGAGCCATAAAGATAGGCAGTAACCCCATCCATTAATCTCATATCAAGATTATTGTGTACTGACAGGCTTACCAAATACCCGATTGTTATTCCATCCATGACCAGCGAATATGTTTCTTCAAAGTCAATGCCCGGTCTCTGAGAAAAACCCTGGGCTATAAGTCTTGCTTTATATCTTGTACTATCATTATTTTCATTTATTTTTCTCACAAATACCCATATGTGGCAAACAGGTTTTACATTTCCAAGTATTTGAACGATAAAGCTGAATACTTGCCGTTTTTTCAATGAGTCCAATTCAGATTGAATTGCATCTTTCCATTTTGCCCAATCATCTATTTTCCGATATTTATCAATTTATTTTTGTTCATAATCCTCGTCATCTTTCGTTATATCGAGTGCTATAGAATATGCAATGCATTATCAATATTTATTTTCTTTTTGTTCAAATATTTTCTACTTGTGGTATAGTTAACAGAAGTTTCAATAACTTCATCATCATTTTCATCAGAATGTTTAGTATCAAAGTCTTCAAGGGTTGTACTAACATTTTCAAGTATCTGATCATTGTTGATTTCTTCACCAGTATTTACAAATTTTTTTTTTTTTTTTTTTGTGGATTCTTATCCTTGAAACCCAACGGTCTGTCACGTTTTATACGAGCAGTATGCTCATTAGCACTCGACACCTTCTCTTCTGTGATATTTATTTTAGCTGGTGCATTTGGTGTTGCAATATATGATTTCGTAACTCTGACAGCATCATTAAAAGTATCAGGCAATTGATTTGCAATTTTATGCAAATACACAATTATTTGAACTTAAAGTTCACTATGTTTCGTACGAGAATCAAATTCAAGTGGTATTTTCCACGAAATTTCTTTTTCAGTTGATTATTGTCTCCCCCTAATGTCGGAAAA